CATTGAGCAAAACCCCAAAACCAAAACCCCGGATTATCTAATTATACGATATATCGAGAAGTGAAATAATTATTAAAACTGAATTGAATTAATTTTATTAATTTGGAAATGAGTCTTTACAAAGCCCCAGAGACTACACAATACTTTAAGATTCTTTCTCAAAAAGAGCAAGCAAATCCCCCACATCTTAGACCATCAAGAGAAGCCAGAGTTTTATCAAAGAAATATGATATGCTTTGCATCAATGATGTGGTTTAAATTCATGATGTTCAAGAGAATTATAAAAATAAAATGCTGCTAGAAGATTTGGATTAGACATAAAATAAATAAAAAAGCAAAGGGCTCCATCAAAAATAGATATAGTAGATTAAGAAAAACTTTGACCGGTAAATGGAGGATTATGAAGGCGATATTATTTCAAAGGATATGCAGAAGGATTTGAGTCATCTGCTCAAGGATGATATTCAAAGGTTTATTAAGAATAATAAACTTAAGAAGTTACAAATGGAGTGTAGCAAGGTTAAAGAATTGCTAGGCCAATAGAAAAAGGAAACACTTTTCTAGCATCGCAAGCCACTAACAACCATGAACAAGGTAGCTGAACTGGATAAATCTTACGACATGAGAGATATTAGAAGGAGCTTAGACATTAAAGATGAATTTAAAGTTGTTGACATAGATACATAAGGCAGGCCAATGACAATTTCAAATAAAAAGAAAAATTATCTCAGAAGAAGTAAAAAGGTCTTGATGGATAGTACTTTTCACTCAATTTCTAGAGACAAACGAGACTAAGTATTTTCAAATAAAACAAATGCTCCGCCTATTGGCCTTTACAAGCTAAATTTCTCAATTATTGAACCGAATAATACATCTCTGCAGTTTGGATTAGCAGAGATAAAACAGAGATTCGACTATTCAAAGCCAGAAACTATGCTTTGGATAGCTGAAAAAGAGCAACTGGAAAGCAAAGACAATAATCAAAGTCCTCGATGTGTAAAGTGTATTAAAAAGCAAGTAGAAACATTAAGTACTCTTTAGAATAATAATAGTCTTGGAAGTGTAATAAAATGTGAGCATAGTTTAACGAAGCTTTTCCAAAAGTAAAAGCAGTCTGAAAAGATCATTGAGTTGACAAGGAATGACAGTCCTTTGAACAAAACCAAAGATAATTTTACTAGGAGTTCGATAATTAACTTAAATGTTTCATTGTCTCCAACAAAAGAATCCTTCAAAAAGCTTAATGGCCAAGGTGTGATGAGTTTTGCTACTTAGACTTCAAGAAAACCTATCACTGAGGGATAACTCAATCCTAATGATGAAAGATTTACGCTTGAAGCAAGTAAATATCCACAAATATACTCTAAAGAAAAACAGTAAGATTAGCTATGATATACATTATTGACTATAGTTCCCCTATAATATAACTTTCAAAGTATTCAAGAAGAAATAGCAATTAGTTTAAGACGAACTTCACTGGATTCCTTCATTACTAACCAGACATACCAGCGTTTTACCCTGTCCCCTCTGGATCTTTTAAGAAAGAGAAATCAAAATCTCCTCAATAAAATACATTTTACAGCAATAAACTTGGTGCAAATAAAAGATCATATCACTCAAAATGTATCATTAACTTTTTTTAAATTATTTTTAGAACATTCTCATGAATTTTATAATACGAGGACATTAATCATTCAGGATGAATAAAATGAAAAGAAATAAAGAAGGATGATTAAAATAAGAAATAATGAGTTTGTGGAATAAGGTAAAAAGCATTTATTTAAAGAAATCGAAAGCCAAATCATGAAAATAAACTAAGGAAATAACAATAGAAATGATTCACAAATTAACAAGTTGTAATGAAACTTTTCATTTGAAATCAATTGAGATTAGCAAGCTTTGACGCTCTGAATGTTTTATATACTAATTAATAATCAATAATTCTGTTTAAAAGCAAACATCTTAAAAATACATTAAATTATTTTCAACATCCATTACTCCTCAATGAAAATCTCTTAACTCTTTTAACAAAACATCAACTCTTCTTTTCTAATCCACACAATGCTAAGCTACATCTGAATACTCCTTGTCTCCCTCTAGAAATTTTTACAATACTGTTCCAACACATTTATGATAAAGTTTATTTGCTCTCTCCAATCTTTTTTCTAAATCAATAGTCTTATTCTCAAATTCCTCTGCGTTCATTTTAATTAATAATGAGTGATTTAAAATTAATTAGTTTATAATTTAAGAGTTAGTTGTAATAAATAAATTAAAAACTAGCAAAGATAATAAAATGGAGTTCGGACACAAACCAGCATTTGAAAACACCTTCAGACTAGAACCCAGAGAGAATGAAAGGTACGCATCTCCTATTCCTTATTTTGCTTTAATCTTGATCTCCTTTCAAATTCCCTAATCATTTTATAGATTCTACCCCTCTAAAGTCAGAAGTCTTATCGAAGAAGTAATCTTAAGAAATTTGAAAGATAAAGAGTATGATCACGCAACCGCCAAAACAATGGCAGAGAGTATCGCAGATTAAATCAAGATGCAAGTTAAGGCTCTTAATATACCATCATATAAGATCGTTGTGCAGACAGTTATCGGAGAAATTACAGGTCAAGGTGTCAGAGTAGCTTCTAAGTGTCTATGGGATGATCAAAATGATAATCTAGCGTCCTTCACTTACCAAAACAACTCACTCTTCTGCACTGGCATGGTATTCGGAGTATACTATGAATGAAACTTTAACATGCAGACTAATATGATCACTATATTTACATTAAAATTCAAATTACACCTTTCTAGTTGATCTTTTTACTTAAAGGGGTTTTGGGGTTTTGGGGTTTTGGTAAGT